GAATTAGGTCCAAATACTGATCAATCTTTGACTGTTCAGCAGCCTTATTTCTATGAAGGATTTCCCCCACGTGCAGTTTAAGAATTGTATCCTGTTGTGGAAACATTACTGTTACCCTTCCCTCCCCCCAACCTCCTGAATGCCTGCTTCCACCTCCCTCCCGTGTAGTTCTGAAATTTGGAAAAAAAAAAACCAAACCTCAACCCAATGCAATTTCTGCTGATCCTTGCAGAATACCGCCTCCCTCTCTTCACTGGTCTGTGATGTAATTAGACTTTGATCTCTTTTGCTGTAGTCAGAGCGTGAAAACATGACCTCCTTTGGACTATAGCTTCCAGAATCTCTTCACTGGCTATGCTAACTCAGAATTCTGGAGGTTGTGATATGAAACAGCAACATTTTAGGGCTCTAAGCTGGCTCGATAGCTTTGGAGGTTGTGATATGAAACAGCAACATTTCAGGGCTTGATAGCTTAGTGGTTTTAGGTCTTTGGCTGCAGAGCTAGAGGTTGGGAGTCGGATTCCCCTACTGTGCCTCCTGTGTGTCGAGCCAGCCTGTGTAGCCTTGGGCGTGCTGCACATTCCCAGAGCGCCCCTAGAGGAAGGGAATGGTAAAGCAATTCTGAGGATTCTCTACCTAGAAAACCCTGGAAAGGGTTGCCCTAAGTCAGAATTGACTTAACACTACCTGATGGTTATTATATATTTTGGAGCTGGCTGGATAGCTCAGTGGTTTAGGTATTGGTTAAGAGTTTGATTCCCCGTTAGGCATCCTGGGAATTGAGCCAGCCTGTGTGGCCTTGGCTAAGCTGCACAGTCCCAGAGGAAGGTAGTAGTAAACTATTTCCGAGTACTCGTTACCTAGAAAACCCTGAAAGGGGTCACCGTAAATCAGAACTGACTTGATGGTTATGGGATTATTGTATTATATTTAGAGCTCTGGTCATCTTGTGTGAGAAAAGCTTGGACTGGATTTCCCCCTTTTCTTAAGGGATCATTCTCTTCTGCTTCTACATGCAGACAAGGGAGAGAGACACCACCTAATTTGGCACAAGAGAAAACACACACTTGCTAGCATCTGGGACTTGGAACAGTTACTTAGTACAGAAAATACGGTGGAGGTCTACAGTATGGTCAGGATTCAAGAGTTATAGTCCTCCCCCCAAAAAACAGTATCTCCATGTTCTGCTACTGTCTACTTATATACAGCTCAGGCTACAGATACAGTGGTGCCTCACTTAACAAGGAAGTCACTGTACAGTTAGGTTTTTGCAATCGCTTTTGCGATTGCAAAACTGGTTTAAATGGGGCTTTTTCGTTTAACGATAATCGGTTCCCTGCTACGGGAACCGATTTTCGCTTTACGATGATCAGCAAACAGCTGATTGTTGGGTTTTAGAATGGCCGCCAGCTGAAGAAAATGCCCCTCCCCGCTGTTTTCTAGGACAAATTCCTCACTTTACAGGCACTGAAAATGGCCGCCGTATGGAGGATCTTCGCTGGACGAGCAGGTATTCAGCCCATTTGGAACGCATTGAACGGTTTTCAATGCGTTTCAATGGGGTTTTTAATTTAGTTTGACGATGTTTTCACTCTACAGCAATTTCGTTGGAACGAATTAACATCGTCAAGCGAGGCACCACTTAGCTGCTTTTTTTTCTCTACCACAAGCATAAGTACAGGGCAGCTCCTCCAGCTGTTGTGCCACAACTCCCATCAGCCTTAGCCAGCATAGGCCAGTGGTAAGGAATGCTGGGAGTTGTAGTGCAGCAATACCTGGAGGGGGTGGCACCATACCCACCCATGCCCTCAAAGAAGTACCTGACTAGCGTATGGCCCTAGGTGGTTCGTGTTAGTAAGCCGAACCAAGGGAGAAAAAGCATTTAATGAGGCGGCTGTACATGCCCATGCCCTCAAAGAAGTACCTGACTAGCTTATGGCCCTAGGTGGTTTGTGTTAGTAAGCTGAACCAAGGGAGAGAAAATAAAGCATTTAATGGGGTGGCTGTACGTTGCTATGCACTGTCCTAAGAGGAGCAGGAAAAGAGATCCTTGTCTCTTGCACAAGGAAAAGGGAGAGAGAGGAGCAGGAAAAGAGATCCTTGTCTCTGTTATGAACTCTCCAGACACTCTTGCACAAGGAAAAGGGAGACCGGGCACAGGGGCCAGTGGTGAAAGTGGAATAGAGTGCTTTGACTCTGCGTGGCAACATTTTATTGTGGTTGATGCTGCTTGTGTATGCAGATCATCACTACCACCGTTGTTGTCCTCCTCATCAGTATCGGCCATTGGCTCCCTACCAAATCATAGCCTTATCACCAGCTAAGATGCTCGCCCTCCTTTCAGACTTACCTAATGAGATTTTACTGAGCCCATGGCGTACTCTTTTGTGAAGTTGCTTTACCCCTTCTTTTCAAGGTAGATACTGAAAATATGTGCCTGAAGCAGCCTCAACGCTCTGGGCCATCAATTGTTTTCTGTTTTCAGTTGAGTGGTAAAATGAGAATTACCTGGGTTTTTTTTTGAAAAAAACATTTTAAAATATTTGCATATATAAATGAAACAATCTTTCTGTTTGTCAGCTGTAGGCTTTAATTTTTTTGTCTTTATAAAAGATAGATTTTTTAGGCTCCGGATTCTTAGTTCAGTGCCTTCCTCAAAATAAGCAATGCATGAGGACTAGAAACTTTTGCAAGAAAAGCTTGCTGTGCAGGAAACAGCATATATACATAGATCTGAAAGAAGATTAAGGAAATATCTTTGCATGCTTGGGAATTTTAAGCAATACTCTTAATAACAGCTCTTTAAACATGCTTAATAACAGCTCTTTAAATATACACAGTGTGTGACGGGGGGGAGGCAGGAGCAAACTGTTCTAATCCATTATAGCTGCTGGCTCAAGCGTAACTTTCACAAGTGTTCCCAGTGCATATATGAACAGAAGTAAATGTAGATGGGAATGGATCCTTTGTAAATATTGATGCAGGTAATTAAAATTATATCTATGTCCATTTTTACAGATTAAGGTTTCAAGTACTTTCGTTCCCTGCTCACTTCATTAAACGGGGCGCTTGTCAAAAGCATGCTCCTTCACAAATTGGAGACGAGCATGAAGCGTCGTTCTTTAATTATCACCTTTGCAATAGTTGTACGGAGTTTTTTAAAAAGTTGTTTGAATCTGATTTAGAGGGGCAAAGGAGTTCATTTGGCCTTCATAGATCATTTCCAAAAAAAAAACCCAAAGCGCTGAAGCTTTTCATAGGAACTAGACTGCATTAATTCTGTGCTTTCAGTTTTCCTTAAAACCTTTGCAGGGGAGTTCAATCCAGTAATTTTTTACATCTACAACACATGATGCATTTGTAACGTTTACACTAAAGAAATGAGACCGACATAGAAATATTTCATTCAGATGTGTGGATTCTGTTCCTCTGCTGGAACAAATGGAACATCAAATGCATAGATATGTTTGGGGTGTACATCAGAACACAACCTGTTTTGAATTCAGATAAGTGTGATTTAACACAATATGCAGCACGGATCCCATTTTTAAGTGTCTTTGGAAATCTGTTACCCAGGACAGTTTAACTACCTTGCACGCAGCCATTATTTGTCAGTGCTCGTGAAAAATATACAGTATCCCATTCTGTCCATTAGGTATGCTTGGGTACAGCTGTTACTTTTATTGCAATGTATTTAATGCCGTGAAATCATGGTGCAGTTATACAGCACTGTGCAATGTTTTGCCCTCTGTATTAAATTGTAAAAAATTCTGGGAGGTTGACGGGAACGAGTTTGTTCTCCAGAGTTATTCCGAACTTCTCTTCCAGTGTTTTCTCCACCTCGTCGTTTTTCAGCGTTGTGAATTCTACCAGATCCACATCCTCTTTGTATCTGTATGTCATCTCTGAGAGTGTCCACCCAACCAAAGCCCGAAACCCATTTATAGTTTGAAGGCTGCAAATTGATTTCTTTGTACACAGAGAATCCGGGGATGTTTGGAGATAAGAACATGGGGATCGAAAATCTTCAACCATCCGTGGCTCAAGGCTGAACAGATAAACGTTCCTGCGCTCCTTCTTTTCGATGAGATCCAAGCTGGAGGAGGTTTCTGTAGGGATGTGTTGCTTCCTTCTTATTTTTTCAAAGTACCAAATCCCATTTTCTTCTGTGAAGCGGAAAACTCCAGGGATCTGAGGCTGATCTTTGCCAGAAACTAGCTCCATGGGTTGCCACATTTGGTAGGAGACACCGAAGCCAGCGTCAACGATGTAAGATTTGCCATCAATCACTACTTGGAGGATTAAATGGGACATTATGGTGTCATATGCCTTTTGCTGTGGGAAGTACACATAGGCCCCCAGAATAGTCGTGTCGTAGCCCATGGTTTTCAGAACCCAAGACAACAGCAGGTTGTTCTCCATGCACCAACCTCCACGCCTTTTCTTTACAATTTTTGTATAGATGTCCTCTAAGTCCAGTGTTATGGTTTCCCCGCAGTGGATGCTGAGGTTTTCGAAGGGCACGGCCCGGATGTGGTGCTGGAAAACGGCCGTCAGCGTTTCTAAATCGAGAGTGTCGAGGGAGCCTTTGTAGCCCGTTCGCGCAAAATATTTGGCAGTGTTCATGATTCCTGGAAGGCAAGTGTTAAAAGAAACCAATGAAAAATTGATGGCCGCTTGGATGGCTTTCCTGCTGGCACACTGGCCGTTCCCCTGAGTGTTTAAAAGAGAGGCTTCAAGGAAATTGTAGTGGAGAAGAATGCAAAGAAGATCGTCTTGGGGTCCACGCCAATTTGGGAACAGCCTCACTCCGTGGTGTATCTGCATTCACTGGCAACCTGCTAAGCAAGCCTTAACTACTGTGGATCATTTTATTTGAGAGATCTATCTCCTCCTCCAATGATTATGGTTATATATTTTCTCCCATATTAGCCATCTCTGTATGCCTCTATGAGTTGCTTCAGTGCGAGGGAGAGTGCCGTAGCTTTCATGTCGTGTCTGTGAGCTGCTTATAGATAGCTGGTCAGCCACTCTATGAACAGAGTCTTAGACCTTGATCTGATCTGCTTAACGGCTCTTTCTCTGCACTTAGGATTTTAGGGCGATAGCCGAGACCGAGAGCGCATCATTTGATTGCAAGTTCAGTCCCCGGCAGCTCCATGTGGACCTTGGAGGGAAATGCCCTCTTCAAAAGCCACTGTCTTGTCAGTGTGAACAGTATGGAGCTGTATGAACCCGTGGCATGACCCTGTGGGCATTCAGAATGGCTGTAGGGAAAAGAGGCTAAAGAAAGAGGGAGAAATACGGGAGGGGAACGGGCCAAAGATTCAAAACAGGGAGGAAAAAATGGCCGTTCTGGTTGGAAATTGATTTGCAGCCTTGCACGCTGCCTGTGGCTTGAGGAACTGGATCTATCCAGCATGAACCAATTGTCCCTTCCTGCCTGTTTGCTGAGTATTCCTTTCCCTCTCTTTAATCTGTTGGAGGCCAGTCATTTGCTGTTGTTCTGCCCCCAATTGTAAGTCATGAAATGCTCTTTACTCTTTCTCCTACCTATGTTTCAGAGTGGGTTGTTGAGATTTTGAAGTGCCAGTTAATGAGAAAAGGGGTGGACTCTCCGGGGGACCTGAAGCTTTTCTCCTTGGTGAATCTTTGCACTTCTGCTACCTAGAAAAAAAAAAGGAATTTTCACTAGAAATTCAAAACTCTGCAACAGTTCTCACACTAAATAGAATTAACTCTGTGACTTGGACACACACAAGTATGTGATTGCAGTAGGGACTAAATGGTTTCCAAAAGGGGAATGGGAGAAATATATATAGCCAGATTCAAATTCATATCAACAATCCGCTGACGGTGAATTACAACCTCCAAGCTTAAAATGTCAGTAAAAATACTTAAAACCCCTTCACATTATGTGTCTAGTGTTTGAAAACCTTTGTTAATTTAATTATTGCATTTAATAAATGAAGCAGGCTGGCTGACAGCCACACAGCCCCTATAACAACCTCTCTCCCTCTTTCCTCCGTGCCCGTTTCTTTTGCCTCCCATTGTCCACGCTAATCACATTTTGCACTCCCTCCTACCGTTTGCTAAATCTCTGTCATCTACTCCATCCTTGGCGTTTAGTTTACTCTTGTTCCTTGATGTGCCATACTTGCTGCCTCAGCAGTAGCTCACGAACCCATCTCAAACCATCTGATCAGCCTCTTCATTGCCTTCCTCCTCTTCCAGAGCCGGAGATGCAGGCAAGACGGTCAACCCGTTAAGCCTCATCAACTTGATCACTGTTCTCCCAGCAGGTTTAGTCCTCTTTGCATCAAAATGGCTGTGATTTATTTATTTGTTTGTTTAGGAAAACAAGCATAAGAGTGGTGCACCCATTAGCTTAAAACTTGAAGGGATCCAAGTTGAACGTAACATGCTTTTTTCCCCAAAGCCTGGATCGATCCTCAACAGATTATAGCTGTTGCCCTTATGTCCAGCCAAATTGATTCCCTGGCAGCAGTTTTGTTTATTCACGGTGGGAAGGAATGCGTTGAGCTAAGTAAAAATTTTTTTTCTTTTACCCTTATGTCCAGCCAAATTGATTCCCTGGCAGCAGTTTTGTTTATTCACGGTGGGAAGGAATGCATTGAGCTAAGTAAATTTTTTTAAAAAAATCTAGCCAAGTTTTCTTTCCTATTCTTTGTATGCAAGAGAAAAACTAGGAGAAAGGGAAGCACAGCACAAAATTTAAGAGTGGTCTCATGGAACAAATTGGATATGTGTCGCTTAAACATTTGACAGCCCGTTTTGTCTGTTTTCATAATCGGCAACGATTCATTTGTGTCCAAAATTCATATAGTATATATCTTTTGCCCTGGCCTTTGAGATAGCGCTTAAACATTTGACAGCCCGTTTTGTCTGTTTTCATAATCGGCAACGATTCATTTGTGTCTAAAATTCATGTAGTAAAATCCTAATCTTTTGCCCTGGCCTTTGAGATAGCAATTGCTGGATAGCTCAGTGGTTTAGGTCTCTGGCTGCAAAGCCAGAGGTTGGGAGTTCGATTCCCCACTGGGCCTCCCTTGCAGGGCTGGATTTGACGATCCAGAGGCTCCCTCCCATCTCTAAGGTCCTAAGGAAGTGCTTTGTTACATGCACCTTTGTTCCAAGTAACCGGTTTAGATGATTTGTATCTTCCACATGACCCGAATAAGTGAGATATTACATGGGGAAGATCATCCGTGAGGAATCCGATAAGATCGACAGTAGCTTTCCAGGTACAACATTCTTCTTGTACACTGTGCTCACAATTAAGGAACATTTTTGCTTGTTATTATGGGGAAAAACTAACTCATTTCTTAATTTACTATTTGAAATATTCTGGTGACCAGTTTCAGCAAAACTTCCTCCCAAATCCAAATGGCTCCCTCCGTTAAAGATGTCCCCCCTCCACAAGAGCTTTTAAATAGAATGACAAAAGTGAAACTTACCAGTTAAACTGTTCGATTCTTCAGAGAGATTTCTCAGTGTTTCTGCTGCAAAGCAACACACACCTCTAATGTCCGTAAGGAAATGTCAATGGATTTGACAGCTCGAGTTCTCGAGACCGTTGACTTGGAACCGGATCTGTTGGAAAGGAACAAAGTCTTTCTAGAAGGTCTCTGTGTAATTAGTTGTCACTAATCCACGTACTGCCTGAACTTTGATTCTCTTTTTTTAGTTTGGAGGCTGTACTTCCGCTTTCTTTTTCACCTGTCTGGTTTCCTGCATTATGGAGAGAGAGAGAGAGAAAAAAGAACTTAGTTCTTTCGGTTGATAGGAGGAAGAGGTATTAATATCCAATGTAGATTAAATAGCAAAGCCAAGATCTAACCAATCTCTTACATCTAGTCACAAACCTGACTGAAAGCGTGTAGGGCGAACGCTGTGCTTCAGCCCCTTGAAAGTGTGGGGCGGGCAGTCCTAAACAATGTTGATACCTGAAGCGAAGAATGAGATGAAACACCTTCAGCCTCATGAAGAGAGGACGAAAGCATCCTCAATTCAATAGCATCCTCCACCACCTCTAAGGGCAACAGACAAGTTTGGGAGATGCAGGACAGGCTCAACTTTGAAGGGAAAATGGTATGAAAGCCAGGAGAAATGGTTAAGAATCTGCTCCCAACATCTGCCTGGGACAGCTGGCATCCTCAATTCAATAGCATCCTCCACCACTTCTAAGGACAACAGACAAGTTTGGGAGATGCAGGATAGGCTCAACTTTGTCCCTTTGAAGGGACAAAGCCGCCTAGAGTGGTCACAATTGACTAGATAGGCGGGGAATAAATAAATAAATAAATAAATAAATAAATAAAATGGTCTGAAAGCCCAGGAGAAATGGTTAAGAAGATGCTCCCAACATCTGCCTGGAACAGCTGCTTCATCATGGAAAAGCCCACTCTGGAAGGAGAAGGAGCATAGGAGGTAATTACGCTCCTCAACCTAGTTATGTCTGGCAACTGATTCAAAATCCTGACTTGTGAGTGACCATGAAGCTGCCAAGAGGCAAATGCAGATTCATGAGATTGGAGCAATCTCTGCACATCTGTGCAAGTCACTACGGGTCTTGTTCGCCAATCCTTAAGGGTTGGTTGTCAACCTCAGACCATGTTGCACAATACGCCTTTCTTGGTTCATTGAAGGCTATGTCTGGAATGCAGATGAGCAACTGATTCAAAATCCTGACTTGTGAGTCACCATGAAGTTGCCAAGAGGCAAATGCAGATTCCTGAGACTGGAGCAATCTCCGCACATCTGTGCAAGTCACTACGTCTCTTTGCTCACAAACAAATGTTCGCCAATCCTTAAGGGCTGGTTGCCAACCTCAGACCATGTTGCATAATACACCTTTCTCAGTTCATTGAAGGCTACGTCTGGAATGCAGATGTAAGCATTGGTTCATAAGTAATTAAAGTGCCCTTGACTCGGGGAGAACTTTAGCACAAATGTCTCTGGCTCAGACCTTGAAGAAGTTAATCATCCTCATGTGCCATCAAGTCAGTTCTGGGTTACAGTGACCTTTCTGGGGTTTTCCAGGTGGAGAACACTCAGAAGTGGTTTAGCATTCCCTTCTTCTGGGGGTGTCCTGGGACTAGCTTGCCAAAGCCTGCACAGGCTGGCTCTTCTCCCTGGAGGAACACTGGGGGAATCGAACTCCCAACCTCTGACTCCACAGCCAGATACCTAACTCAAGGCACTGTCCAGAAGAAGTTACAACTCTCAATAATTTCCTCAAGCAATCCTGGAAGGAGAAAGTTTTATTTAACTACTTCTGGTGACTTTAATGCCTAGGCACTCGTTGCGTTCTCACTCCCAGCTGGCGCCAGCTCTCGTTGCTTCAGGGTAGAAGTATTTATATCTATTTTATAAAGATAGAGATTTGTTTCAGATAGTGTTTCAGCACTAATGGGGTACATGGATGCATACACACATGCGTGCATGCATACATACATGGCAATGCAGGAAATCCCCTTTGTCCACTTTCACACACAGAGAGGCACGCGGACACATATGCAATAATCATATTTTGCAGTTTTTTACACAAGGACCCACCTTGTGTGATATCATGATGACCCACCTCCTATGAAATTATAGAAGCATAGGGCAGGTTGTTCTAATCTTTTTCATCAACCGTCCAATCGTTCTGTACTTTGCTTCACAAAGGAAAAAGGACACTGGTTTGGCCAGAGATGTGCAAAAATGTGCAAACTGCAAAGACATAAATGGGGGTGGTGATGGTGGAAGAGACCTCCTAGTCTCACTCTCGAACTGGAGTTGAGGGATCACACAAGCTTGGAAGTTCCTTGCTAAGATGTCTTGTCATTTTGTCATTTCTCATTCTTGTCATTTCTCAAAAATGAGAAACTCAAAGTTCCTTGCTAAGATGTCTTGTCATTTTGCTACAGCCTAAATTGACAAAAATGAGGAACTCAGTGACTGTTCTTCACATCCCCACTGTACGTCAAGACTATGATTTGTTCCGGATAGGACAGTAAAACATTAATGACCACCAGATGTCACCACAATTTCACTTGCTGCTTTTGTCTCTGCTGTAATGCCTGAAGACATTCATCGAACAGAGAGATATCTGGAGAGAGCAGACTTTCTGACGGTAACAGATGGAAGGCAGTCAAAAGGCTGAATATTGAACTTTTGTCCTAGAGTAAAACCTGTACTCCGAACCTTTTCAACAGTATGACCTGGAGTTAAAATGTGTATTATTTGCACAACCTCCCAATTCATATACTAGGAGTAAGATCTGTCACTCGCTGTGCTCCAACCGTAATGGATGGTGCTGTGCTATATTTAGAAAGGGATTCTATGTTTTGTTTTGTTTTTTAATTGACTGAGATATCTATTATTTTTTAATTGATGGATTTTTGGGTAGGGTAAGAAGGGTTAAGGGACATGGTGGTGCTGCGGGTTAAACCCCAGAAGCCTCTGTGCTGCAAGGTCAAAGACCAGCAGTTGTAAAATTGAATCCATGCAACAGATAGAGCTCCCGTCATTCGTCCCAGCTCCTGCCAACCTAGCAGTTTGAAAGCAAGTAAAAATATGAGTAGTTAAACAGGTACCACCTTGGTGGGAAGGTAATGGCGTTCTGTGACTAGTCGTGCTGGCCATGTGACCACGGAAGATTGTCTTCGGACAAATGCTGGCTCTATGGCTTGGAGAAGGGGATGAGCACTGCACCCTAGAGTCGGACACGACAGGACTGGTCAAGGGGAATCTTTACCTTTACCTAGGAAGAGTTAGACGTCCTTGCTGTGCACTGGGTAACAACCTCCCTTGCATACTATTACTAACCCAGTGATTAATTAAGCATAAAATTTTAAATCTTATTAATCCTTCAAGTAATCCAGCTAATAATAGAATTACTAGGAACATATTAGGAACAGAACTAAGAGTAACCTTTACAAAAGGATTACTACTAGCCCTATTAATAAAAAGGTCACCAGGCATACTATTAATAATATGCTAGTCATCGTTTTAATGGCAGGATTATTGGCAATACCTTATTAATATAATTAACTAATACTATGGTTAATGAGACTGTGTAGGGGCTGTTATCAAGATCCTTTCCCCCGCTGCTGGGAAGATTTACATTCTCCCCACCTTTAGGCTTGGGAAATTAATATTATCATATTAATGATTAGTAATGCCATTACTGATGAGGGGACACCAAAGAAGCCATCCTGAAGAGTGAAGAAGCATTCTGAGTACACCTGGGTCTCCCCAAGGGCAACCTTGTGCAGCCCGACAATCTTTCACTTCCGGAAGCATTGCAATGTGAACTTGCTGATCTGTGGTGCAATGCTTTGATGTGAATAAAGAAACACCCATTATTAATTTGATGATTAGTTAATGCCAGTAATACTCACCTGCTAGCTCAATGAATATCACTCATAAAACTGTATACCCAAAGTAACACAAAATCAGTCAGGCTGGCAGTTCCAGAACCACAGAGGATGGTGTTCTATCAAAGAATGTAGGAACTTTATAGACACTCAGCCCTTCAGTTTGGCTGATCCAGTCTTTCCAGCTCTGACTGGATTTTAGGTGGAATTGCTCCCTAGCCCTGCCTAGAGATCCCTATTTCTCAATACCTGTTGGAATGTCTCTCCCAGAAATCAGCTACCTGTATGACTCGCTCTTCTCAATCCATAATGCTCAATGTGGCCACACCGAGGGAAGCTAGAAAAGTGGAGAACTTTTCTCAGTGGTGGCCCCTGTTCTCTGGAGCCGGTTTCCATTGGAGACACAGCAGGATCTTTCCCTCCTTATGTTGGGAAACTGGTAAAAACAAAACAATTCAAAAGTGACAGCTTTCTAAAGGTAAGGGTTCTCCTTGACATTTAGTCCAGTCGTGTCCGACTCTAGGGTGCAGTGCTCATCCCCCTTTCCAAGCTGTAGAGCCAGCGCTTGTCCATAGACAGTTTCTGTGGTCACGTGGCCAGCGCGACTAGACACAGAACGGCATTATCTTCCCACCGAGGTGGTCCCTATTTATGTACTCGTATTTTTACTTGCTTTCAAACTGCTAGGTTGGCAGGAGCCGGGACAAGCGACGGGAGCTCACTCTGTCACATGGATTCGATCTTATGATGGCTGGTCTTCTGACCTTGCAGCACAGAGGCTTCTGTGGTTTAACTCACAGTGCCACCACATCCCATTCTAGATGCTGTTAATATTACTATTTTATTTTTTATTTTTTAATTTTTTTTAAAAATGATTTTTCTTCTTATTTCACTGCCATGTTGTTATATGTAAATGTGAGGTGTTTGGGATTCGTAAGTTTTAACTCTGAAAACACCCAGAACAGTGTGTGCGCGAATAGAGTTGTATATAAATCAAATCGAATCAATTAATCCCTGGTATTCCTTAGTGAGTCTCCCATCCAAAGATTTACCAGACCTGGCCCTGCTTAGCTTCCAAAATTAGACAAGATCCAGTGTGTTCAGGGTTAGCATAAGTGTGCTATTTTACAATTTCGGTTGCTTATATTTTTGGAGTAACTTTCCTAAATCCTAGCTACAATGCCCACTGTGGCATAAATTAAATTGAGATACGTGCACACTCCAAGTTAGAGGAGACCCATCAAGTCAGTGAGGTCCATGTTTCATATAGATTCACCATTCATGAATTGATTCTTATATCTTT